AACACTACAGCATCCTGCTACTGATTGACATAACACTACAGTATCCTGCTACTGATTGATATAACACTACAGCATCCTGCTACTGATTCATATAATACTACAGTATCCTGCTACTGATTGTTATAACACTACAGTATCCTGCTACTGATTGATATAACACTACAGCATCCTGCTACTGATTGATATAACACTACAGCATCCTGCTACTGATTGTTATAACACTACAGTATCCTGCTCCTGATTTGAGAAAATACATATTGAAAAGTTCGTTAAGCAAAATTTCACAAAATTATAGTCTCACAAACTTCACAGCAAGAGTTATCAAACTGGACCTCTAGAGAATCATGACATGTTCCACTTCCATCCAAAGTAACTCTGACATCTGTAAAGTGTATTATGTACCACTACAACAGTATAATGAAGAGAATGACTGTTAAAACAGGTATCAGTAATCTAAACAAAAGTAACCCCATTCATACAGATTCTTGGGGGTGGGGTCTTCAATCAGAGTGGAAGTGAAGTTTGTAATCCCATAGTTTACAGAATATTTACATTGCATCATCAATTTAATATAAGTAACTGATTGAATGAACCATTTTCTTTCAAGTGAAGCTTCAGTTAGCTTCCATTAAGAAACTTATCAGAATTCTAAAACTGTCAGTGCAACAGTGACTTTTGAAACTTTACTCTATCAAGCAAAGCATCTTTCAGGTATGATGGTCTATAACACTCCATACCCTACATAATGGGGGGGTCAAATGTAACTAAAGCTTCTTTCTCAAACTTCAAAGGGTTAAGAAAACTATTTTTACCAATATATCTATATCTGCAATTGTAAGTTAATTTTTTATAGAATTGTCTTATTATATTAAGATTAAAAGGGGAATTTACAACATGAGAAATCATTTCTTTTGGGTCATCAAAAAATTCTTAATCTTGAAAACCATTCTAGGAATATCCTCTACAATGCTCGCAATTTCAATTTAAGTATTCTGGGCTTGTTTATATTCAACTGTTTGGAATGCATGAAAATGAAAAACTTTTGAAACATAATAATAATTTATGAAATCATATTTATGGCAAATCAAAATAAATAAGCACACATATACACATTTTTTAATAAGAAGCAAACAGTTACATCAATTTATTTTATAATATTTTTCTTTCAAATACAACAAAAAGTATATAGTATTACAATATAAACAGTACATTTTTACTATTTGATATTAATTACATTTATACACATGGCATTTACGTAAGGCTTAACAAACGGGTAGGCGAGTAGGCTTAGGGTGGTAAAATCAGGAAAAGTTTAACATTACTATCACTTTAAGTAGAAGTGACTATCTCATGCTACTTTTAACTAATCTGAAAACTCTGTTCATAAATACAAGCACCAGGGCTCCAGATAAGGTGCATGTCTGTGTCAATAAATATATTTTTTTTTACATAAAAAATTGCTTTAGACATAAAAATTGTTGTATCAGATATGCGTACAGTATTCACTGATACATACACCATTCATGTATGTATTCACCAGTTTGAAAGAAAAAAAACCTTTATGAACTTTATCAGTAGAAAATACAAATATATAAATCATGGAACATCATTCTTACTGTGAGCTGACTGATAAGTTTTATAGCATTTACCTGTAGTTCAAGATTACATGTTGAACCAGAAATTATACTTATCTAATTTTATCAATCACTGTGAACAAATATAGGCCTGCTAAAGTAAACATTTACTGGAAGTTGTAACATTTTGTTTATGTAATGCTACATTACATATTTATCAATGATAACAGTGAAGGGATTCTACCCGGGACAGAATTTTAAAATCTTGCCTAGGACAACAAAATACCTAAAGCCGTCCTTGTGTTTGATACTTACTTCATCCCGTTCATCAGGATTACATCTTTTGGATTCTAAAAAACTGTGCAAAACAGCAACATTTCCCTCTGTTACAAGTGAAGAAAGTGCTGTAAAACTGGCATTAGTCATTCTTGGCTAAAATATTAAAAGAAAAAATTATTTTATTACATGTCTCAATTACTAAAAAAAAACTTTTATGGGCTGATGGATAAGGTATACAAAGCTTGTAAAAAGAGTAAATATCTTCAACCTTGTTATACATCTGATTATTTCATAAATTACAAAGTCTAAAAGATTTGTTATAGAACAAATAAAAATAGCAATCTTGTTTTCTTCACGATTGGTGATTATTTCTGTGTCATGATATCTACTTCTTAAACATATTCAGAACAGTAACATAATCACAACACTTGGATCCTAAAAATCACACTGTTTTCTTTCTTTACAGCAGGTTGAATAAGATTTAATATTTTTGATAAGTTTTTAATTACTGTTCTATGTAGAAAACTGTTTAAACATAATTTGGCTTGAACTTCATTTTCTAACAAGAAAATTGGTTACAGTTTAAATGTTTTTTTTCCCTCTCTGTTAAGAGCTGCATTAAATAAAATATATGAGAAAAGCAAAACAGTCTTTCTTCTTGATTGCTTTGCTAAAATATCAACTGCGGTTCAAAAATTAGAAATTACTTCTAGTATACAAAAATAGTCACGAGTATGAACTACATACCCCAATGAAAGATTTATATGTGACCACAGACATATTATAATAATAACAATGTTTTAACTTTTTCTTTAGTTTGGGCTACTTCTTGGATGTTAGTTTTGTAACTAGAAAATAAAATCTAGATACACATTGTCAGTAGCCTCACATGTATATTTCTATAAAAAAAAGGACTAATCATATGGTGGTTAGGATAGTTACTTTCAAGTAATGATGATTACTATTATTGTTTGTCGAGTATTGTGAAGGGATGTGAGTGTATATTTTGGTGGGTGGTTTTGAAAAGTTAGTAGGTGATCTCAAAGTGTTGAACAGTTTTTTTGCTACTTTCTAACATTTCCAGAAAAATGTTCGGGTTTATTACATTCCAATTATTATTTTCATACAAGTCAAAAACTATCATGCAATGAAAAACAATCAACTTGAGGAATGAAGATGGATGTGAGAATTAACAAAAAAAGGAGAAAATAACTAAATCTCATTGCACTTTCATCACCTAAAAATAAAAGGCACACCCACATTATGAAGTGAAACAACCAAGTGTTCATATTTCACAGTTGTTCTATTTTACAACAGGTTATTGTTTTATAATTTATTTTTATATAAACTGGATAATACTATAAAACAATCTTATAAGTATTAGTGAAGGTGGGGGTACAAGTAATAAGTATCAGTGAGACAGGCCTTCTATGGGAACGGTCTTCGTTGATTTGTGAGGTTGGCTTCACTTCAGGGTTAGTGGTACACTGATATTATGGTATGATGTTACTGTTGATATTTAAAATATTTCTTACATTTTTACAATCTGGGTACATCTTTGTATTCTCCAATTTTGAATAGAGAACATTTAACCAAACAAAAGTAAATTAAAACTCACTTGAACATCCCAAATCTTTCTGCTCATACGTGTAAAATTGCATCAACTGTAGTACTGTTAGTGGTAATCAAACCACCGCTGTTTTTCTAACAATTAGTTACCCTAGTATCTAGACTGGGTAGCACTGGCAGGTTAATCACAACTGTGTTTAATTTCTACACGTTGATTAGTTACTAGTACTAATTCTAGGCCTCAGCACGGCAAAATTTGCGGTGCTTGACGCAAAAGTGAATTAAATGAAGGCATATACCCGATTTATAATTCCTTATTATTTAACAACAGTAATAAGAACGTTTCTTTCTTATGGTATTAATAGTACTCTGGTCACGCATTCGCTCCATCCTTAATTTTTTAAACTTTCTATTCACTTCTTAAGCTGCTCGCACTCAAGGATAAAGACTAAGTCGTTCTCTAAACTTCCACTGTGAAAGTGTAAACAAAGCATCATTACTAAGACCTCTAAATTCAGCTTTCTTTCTTAATTATCCGTCCTTGACCTGGTTCCCAGTTTTAGTGTCAACTTCTGATGTTATTAAATTAGTATTTTTTTGGAATATTTTTGAATATACTTAGTCATTTTAGTGGTATATTTTTTACTTATTTTTACGTTTGTTTCATTAACGTATAGTAGGTACTAAAGAAAGAAAGAGGAATTAAAGTGTCGCATGGAATCTTCTTCAAATTTCACTTTTCTTTCTCTCTTTTTGTCCATTCTAACTTTCGTTAGTTTGTTATTAAGCACAAAGTTACATAATGGATTATCTGTGCAGTGTCTACTACAAGTATCGAAACAAGATTTTTGACGCATCTTATTTTCTTATTTGTAGCAAACAGAAATTATAGAATGATAATAAAAGAATGTCTTGGATTATTGCGCAATGCTAAACAAAGGCTCTTTGCACATTAGCCTTCTCTATTTTTTTAACAGATAGACTAGAGGGAAAGCACTACCAACTCTGGAGCTTCTCTAATCGAAGAATGGGATTTGATCTACACTCTTATAACGCACCCATGGCCGCAAAGTACGAATAGCGATTTGTGTGTGTGGCAACAGGATGCGAACCCTGGACCCTCTATCTACAGGCAGACATACTAAATATTGGACCACGCTTGGCCCAGGAATGTTTTAAAACAAGATTTGTTAGATTATTTTCAAAATAATCTAACTTTAATTGCTACCTAGGCTCTTTCGAACTAAAAAGTAAATTATAAAGATACAAAAAATCAAGTGAAAACAAAGGTACACATTAAAATAGCTCTTCAAAAACAACCACTTAAAATATTATTTCAATGACGACTAACTATAAGACACATCTAGTATCATGAACTTCTGACTTCCTGCTTATAGTAATTTTAATCCACACTGACATCACATCGCGAATTGAGCTGATATATATAAGTATCCATATGATAAGAATACTAGAAGATTGGATAATTAACTGAATTTGAAATTTTATGAACTTATCTCTTTGGAGTTTTGCGGTACTCCAAAATTGGACCTAAAGCTATTAGCTGCACTACTGATAACATGGAATGATGTACGTTCCCATCTTTTTAACTGCTGAGGTAGCCAAACCTCATTAGCCACAGAGGCTGGATCTTGATATTTTTCAACAGCATTCAAAATCCACACCTGCATGTTTAAAATAACTGAAATTTTTTATATGTAATGGACATAAATAAGAAAGAACTTGTCATGATATAAAAGACTGTTTAGTGTAGGTAGTATTAATTAGTTAATTTTGTGAGTTAATATTTCATTATTGTTTAGTTTTTCATAATAAGAGAGTTATAAGCAGATAATTATTGGAAATTGTGTTTATAATTCGTTGATGTTGAGACTATCGAACGTCACATGAAATTTATTGATGTCAAGGATATAGATATTTCTATAAGTCGAGCAGACGATTAAGTGATTATAGTGTGAGACGAGCGGGAACAGCAGACAGACAATAGCAGACGAGAAAGTAAAGTCACTGGAAGTAGAAATTCGGCCAGAGAAAATTTAACCCAAAACTCGAGCGCTTTCGAATAGTTGACTATTCTTCGTCAGGAGAATAAAGGGTTAAAAACTATTAATATGTTAGAGTAAAACTAACAGTTTTAAAACAGATAAGAAATATAGTTTATTCCGTCAAAGTGAGTTCTAAAGTAATTGAACTAGTCTGAGTGCATTTTGACAAGCGAAACAACGATAACTGAAGTACGAGGACCAGACGATTGTGGTAACTCACGCTATAATTGTAAGTAAATTATACACGGAATACTAGTGCGATAGAAATAGAGAAAAGTAGTTCGGCTTGTCAACTGAAATTCTAAAGGAATTAAATAGGTCTAAGTGGACTTTTGACAAGAAGAAGAGAACTATATATAATGTTTATGATATGCCTATCATCTCTATAGTGTAAAGAATTTGTTACATACAATTAATTAGTTCGAATATATATGTATTATTTTGAAAACAGGTGGAGTGCGTGCTGTTCGCTTAATTTTGAATTTATCGCCAACAAGTCACAGACACCTACTGTAGAAGAATCCTTAGCTCAACACCCATATTATTCAACCTATTTACTAAATACTACTACTATATATATATATCAATATAACAAGCCCATTATTTTGACATAATTAAATAATTGTAATAATTAAAAAAAACAATGTGCACATACACAAAGAAAATATAAAAATATCCATGTTCATAAGGATACACATACACGTACACACACACACACAAAGAAAATATAGAAATATCCATGTTTATAAGGATATACATACACTTGCACATGTACGTACACACACACATATACAAAATAATAGAAAATATTTTGTTTATTCTCTTCACATGGATGGTGCCGATAGTTGAGTTCATTTTATTCTTGTTGCCTCTTCTTTTTGGATGTAGATGAGTGACGGGAGAGGGGGAGACGCTATTCCAAAGTGGCTGATGTTGTGGTTTCTCAGGATCACATTTTTTGGATGCTACATCAAGGTTGTAGTGCTGCCAAAAGGTACACCGGAGCACGTCTTCGGCACCTGAAATTGGAGCTAAATTCCAACGTTTCAAAGTCTGAAGATGTGTATATAAAAAAGTTACTTAATTTACACCTGAAACTAAATGTCTTTCATAACCAAACATTCAGAATCCAAAAAAAGAGAACACTCTTAGCTGTCTGCGATCTCCTGTACGCACTAGTAGAGCTATTTCAGACTACCAAACATACATTATTTTGCTCTCCCTCAGAAACTTACTTCAGGCGCAATGCAACTGTTTCGGCTTAAGAAAAGGTGTCAGAGCGTTAAAATGATGAATGTTATTTGTCATATGTCACGCGGTTATTAAGACACACGAATATGGTATCAAAGCACTTAATAAAAGCACATTTTGCCCGGCATGGCCAGGTGATTAGGGCGCTCGACTCACAATCTGAGGGTCGCGGGTTCGAATCTCCGTCACACCAAACATGCTCGCCCTTTCAGCCGTGGGGGCGTTATAATGTGACGGTCAATCCCACTATTCGTTGTTAAAAGAGTAGCC